TTTCTTACTCCTACTTCAGCTCGGACGCTTACTCTGAGAATGAGAGCGCAGTTCGACCAGTGCTATAAATATTTAAAAAAATTATGCCTGTACTTTAGCTTTTACACCGATAAGTAGAGGTTATAGTTTTCTTACTTCTTACTGCTTACTTCCAATGTAGACGGTCCTTAAAGAAGTTAAACAACGTTCCCTCTAAAAGTCAATCAGTGGATTTTCGCTGAAAACAGTGAATAGTCACTGATTTACAGTTGCAATTATACCACTGTGATTTTCAGATACACAACTGCAAATCAGTGACTATTCTGTTTTCAACGATAATCCACCGATTGACTTTTAGAGGGAACGTTGTTTAGCTTCAAGCTTAGCTTAATTCGTTCTTTGTCTCTTCCCAAGTGTTACTTTAAGAAGAGACAAACACGAATTCAACTAAGATTAAAGTTAAGCGACGTGTGGTGAAACCGGACCTTAATCCCACTGTTAGCCACTATTATAAACGAAACGCGAGTTCGGTTGATCGGAGAACGAAACTTCGGATATGTTAAATCGAGTTGAGACGGGACCATCGCCGCGACGGGCGATTTTGTTCGTAGATTGCCAAGAGACGGTGCCAGATTCGAGCGATCGCAGGACCGCGCTTACGATCTCGCGTACGAGGCGGGCGGAAGCTGCGAACGGCTGTATCCCACGTGTCGGCACTCCATTTACGACGTGGACTTTTGAAGCTGCGGCAGAAGCTGCGACAGACCTTTCATCACGCCGTCCGGCAGGCCGCGGAACGTAAATCTGACGAGAAACTTGCCGCGAAGCCTCGGCAAAGTTTTTCTGGCAACCGGCCCGTTGCCGCGGCGATTTTTCCGCCTGACGCATCGGCGGCCTCGCGCATCGTTTCCGCGCCACGCGTCGGACTGACGACTGATAAAACGGTCAACTTGTTGTGTTGTCGGCTTATCGTCGCTACGAACTTTTCAAACGCCGATCGAGTGCCGTTTCGCCGTTCTCTATTGAAAGAGAAAAGACTCAGCCGCGTGAGAGATAAGTTCGTGATTAACGTATTATTTGCATAAAGTTTGAATTTAGTTGTCTGTTGAATTATGCGTCTATTGTTTCAAACAAATATTTGTAAAATATCTTTAGCTTAACGTATTACTTAAGTATATGTCGACGTTGCTATTTTATCTACCTGTCACGTATATTAATATTTGCCATCGTATTAATAAGTGACATATGACAATAGGTATATGTATTATAATAATTGTATTGCGTACGTATAAAATTGTTTTACAATAGGTCAGATAATTACAAAGAGCACAATATATATGTGTGAAGCAAAGATGAAAAATGAAATCGACAAGTTGTTTGCTTTCTAGAGGAAAGTTTCCTATTACGGGATAGGTTTCTAATATGAGATAGCGGGGTTTCTGCTAAATTAATTCTGCTAAATGAAGACATCATCTGTCGTTTCCATCATAAATTTATTATTCTTGAAGTGAAATCTGTTTAGTGGAAACTTAGATCGTGCAATCGTTGCGAAAAAAAGATTTGCGATTGAATTTGGTCGTTGAAAACTTACTATCTCATAGTAAAGGTCTTTCCGCTACTTCCTAGTGATATCCCCCACACGAATTTTTGCACTCGTATCAATCAGGTGTCCAAGTATGCCAAGTATTTACGTGGATTTTAATAACAACACAGCATGTTTCGTCATCCGCGGTGCACGTTGGAGGGCCACGACGATAAACGATTATTTAACATCAACGACGATTCCGGGATTAAATTCAGAAAGTTTTGCGCGAGACTCTCGACCCATGAATATTCTATATCGGTCATTACATTACTTCCGCAACGTGTAATTCATTTCGGCGCGGTTTCGAATAATTTCACGACGTTTTGCATTAATAAAACGGTCGCCCGGGCTCTCGTCGATTTATGGTTCATTTCTGCAGAGTGCTCCGGACGGAGCGCATCCGTCGGTTGATTCTCTTTCTCTTCTTCTTTTTTTCTTTTCCTAGCGGAAATAAAATATGCCAAATATATCTCCGTATTGTAACGAACGTCTAATCGATATGCAGTCGACGAACAATTTCGCGTCCCTCATGCGAGCACCACTCCGTTTCGTCGGTATTTGTCACGTGCGAACGCAGCAAACTAGTCGCAAATGTAAGCACATAATTGTATTTACTTGATGAGATTCTACCGCGCAACTGCAAGCTTGTTTATTAACGATGTTTAACAAGGTGGCCCGGCGGCCACTTGAGCCGCGTAGCACTTTAACTAACAACCGGAAAATCCTGAGACAATAGCTCGGCGCCCGGTTGTAACGCGAAAGTATCGCCGTAAAAGATATTGCCATCATCGTGAAAATTGTAAGCCGGGTATTCTCGGCGTGAAATTTTTGCTTTAACTCGACCGAGAGTATTCCCGCATTATGTTGCACTCACGCGCGTATTCCGCTTTTGTTGCATCGCGCTCGATATAATTTCGCGATATACGTAATATATTCGGCCTAAATTAGATTGCTGGTATGCATCTGATTCGATAATATGCCGCGCGCTCGGTTTAGTGTTGTAGTTATTTTAGCCGGAAATTTATCCCAAAGATAATTAAATTATTGCGGGAATGTTTGCTGCGGGATCTAAAAACGTAGGAGGATAGTTAATAATTGTGTACATATTATCAGCGGAATGTGGGATATTTGTTCAGCGAGTAAATTGAAGACGACTCTTCCGGTGCATTATCAGTCTTCAGCAATAAATTAGAATGTCGCGTCGTATATTTAGAAAATATGTGCCGCGTTTTGCTGACAATAATTCGAATCGGGTTAACGTTTAATCAGCTTATCATTTAAGTGTAATCGATAGCCAATTAAAATGTTTATTTAATAATTATTCTTGCGGTGATTAATAATTATTATTCTTTGCTCGATTCTGCTAATTACATTGTCATATTATTGCACAGATAATAATATTTAAGCATTTGTGATTTGAGTGCCGAAGAAATAGTCTTACTAGATTTAAAATAATGTAATAAAGAGGAGGAAGAAAACAGTTGACGAAGCTGCAAACAAACATAATGGGGTGCCGTATGGGAAAAGTTGGAAGCATTTACAAAATGCGGTTTTAGAGATATTCCGTATTCTTAGTTTTTAATATCCAGTTGAGCTTACATTAATTTGCGGGACAACATTTTTATGCAAAAAAAATCCCCAAGTTTTCGTAAACTTCGCTATTTTCCCCGGAGAAATGAAGAACAAAGTTAAATTATTCTCCATTTACTCATCGTTAGAACAGTAATGGAGTACCGTTGCTTTTCGACACAGACGGATGCCGGTTCGTTAGCGTTTGTTCTCCGAGAACAAGCAACGGTCACGCACCCAAGCTCGTTCTATCGTCAGGATTAACACTTTAACCTCGTTCGATGGAGCACGAAATTTTCGTACCGCGATGCTGATTAATCATCTCTGCCACTTGATTCTGCTCGGCGTTTTCGCGCGTCGCTCCGGAGGATCGACAACATCGATAACGTTTACGAACGACTCGCTCGTAAGAGCCGGGAGGGACGTTGGAATTAAATACCTGGTGTTCCCGCAAGGCAGTAACGTTCAAGTAAGATAAACTTTTATTTCACACGGCGCCACGTGTACTTCGATAAGGAAACGCTTTCGCTCGCGCTCGCAATTACTACCCTCTTCGTGTCAAGTTTTCCCCCGCGAATTTGTGATGCATAAACTTGGAAAATGTAGGGGAGCGTAAACGCACCTGTTACGCTCGCTTTCGAATCCGGGGTGAGAAGAAGGGATTCGTTATTAAAATGAAATCTTCGTTCTCTCTCGTGTTTTTGCCGGCGAAATGCGCCAGACAGGTCGATACGGGCTCGCGGAAGTTTCGTAGCGAGAAGTTGTATATTATGGCGCAACATAAACTCTCGATACAGTTTAGCTTAGGAAGTTTCATATGCTAAATGAAACGGAACTCCCTTTATGCGTAACGTTTAAAAAGACTCTAATAAGCGGAGCAACGCCGAGTAATAACAAACTTCACGAACGGGGAGAATATTGATCCGCGATGTATATAATTAGTTTCAAATTAACATGTAAAACGTGTTACCGCCAAATTAAAACACCCGCGCTCTGAATGGCATTAAAATCATTTGTGATTTCGGCAAATTAATTAATATACTTTACAACAGTTAATTAAACAATAATTAATCTCTCTCTCTCTCTCTATTTTTTATAATCAGAGTATAATATAATATGTAATCTGTAACTCACATTATGTCAATTTTATCTTTAATATTTATTATCCTCTACACTTCTAATATGCTTAATTCAATGTGTACAACTCGATGTAATTTTGTCTTACCGCTTCAGGGAACGTGTCCTATGACGTTTAATAAATAATGATCTGATCTGATCTAATCTCTCTGTCTCAAAACCAGAGAGACAGACAGAGACATTTATCAACATTAACATCGAGATAGACATTCATCAACATCGAGGCAGATATTCATCAACATCAACATCGAGACAGACATTCCTCGACATTATCGTCGAGAGAAAAATTCGCCAACATCAACATGTTGACGAATGTCTCTCTCGATGTTGATGTTGATGAATATCTGTCTCGATGTTGTTGATAAATTTCTGTCTTGGTGTTGATGTTGACGGATTTTTCCTCTCGATAATAATGTTGATGAAAGTCTGTCTCGATGTTGATATTGATGGATGTCTATTTTATCTTTGATGAATGTCTGTCTCTGTCTCCGTCTGTCTGTTAAAAGGCACCTATTACTTCTTATTTGCGATTTAACAAAATTGAATTTGCCGTTAACTTTCTTTCACCTGTCCATTATTGTTACGCAGCTTGTTTACTGCCTAACCACGAGCACATATTCGAAGCCCCAGGGAATGTTTACCATTGGTGTTACCGCCGGGTTGGCGTGGGAACTACCCTACAGAAATAGCGTACTGTACGGGAAGCCGGCCGAGGTTTATCATCGTCGAAGCAGAAGAGAGCTGTACCGTAAAGTGGAGCTAATGCTAAGAACGTGAGTAAAATAGGTGGACAATGACACGGGAAGGTAGGGAGGACCGTTTTCACTTCTCGCACCGTATTAATTACCGACGTCCGGCGCGGCCTGTATAGAGAGAGAGGAAATCACTGTGAATTATTCCAATAATGCGGAAATGGCGTAGGAACTTATCTTCGTCGCGCGATGAGGAAACATGAATCGCTGCTGCAACGATTACGACATACCTCGCCGCGCGGCAGGAAAATCGAATATTTCGTCGTTTTATTTCGCGTCCGAGTCTATTTCATTCTCCTCCGCTGATTAAATTTATACCCTCCTCCTCCCCGCGTGGAAGGGCCTGCAGTGGAAAAAGGGTAATTCCATTGAACGCGAACGAAGGGCGAGATCTGTTTGATGAGATTTTTGTTTCAGCGACTTGTCGGGCAAGTTTCGCTGTTTCGCGAAGAGAAATGGACTCGTGCCGTTATTGAAAAGCCGCTCCTCTCATCCGCGTCGCGGAGAATGCTCCCCAAAGCGAGAACGTCTCTCGTTCAGAGGCAACCGCGATTCGGAGCTGAAAAATCCTAACGTGCCGGGAGCTTCAAATGGACCGTCATCTGCCGGACGTAATCGATGTCTTTCGCGCGGGAGAACCTAAAAATCTACTCTCCGCAAAGGCTCCGCGTACGCGTGACCGTAATAAACGTTATACACTTAATAAATCCGTATAACTCCGCGACGGGACGAGTGCGTTTCACGGCCGATGAAGCGGCAGGGAAACGCTCTTAAGCGGTCATTCGGCGAGCGGCGAGCGGATTAGAAGCGGGCACGCTCGAGGCCGGAGGAAACGGTCCCGAGGATGATTCAGGTACAACCGGCGACGCATAATGCCATAAAACCGCGCTCGCTCGACCGCTCCAGCATCCGCCGGCGTTTCATCGGACCACAGTTCGAGCGCTTGCGGGCACATGAAGCGGGGCGGATTGAGAAACGTCTCGCAACGGTCGCCACGGTCCGCGTGCTGTCTCGAGCTATTTTGCGTGGTGGAAATGGGATTGGCGGAAAACCGGCCTGGCGCCGACCGACCGAGGGTTCCCTCCGCTCTTTTAATACAGAATTACTCTCGACGCGTAAAAAAAAAAGTTAATTGAATTCTGTTCCCGCGCAGTGCGGACGGGGCAGAGCTGTCGATCGATCGGAATCACGAGACGGCGATCGCAAAAGAACCGTCGTCGGCTCGCGCTCGATTTGCCGGACGCTTACTGGAATCAATTCGCTCCTGGTCGGGGACTCCGGGAATTGTTAGGAGCAATTACATTCGCACCGCGATTGAACCGGCCGACAATTCCATTCAAATTGATAACGTGTATTTTGATGTAACTGACTTAATCGGATTTTCGACGTATCTGTCGTCGCGAGCGTTCTACCGCGCTGATACCGCGCTCCGCCGCGTACGAATGAATCCAGTTGTCACGGCGCACGTGACTAATACTGCGATATACGAGGGTGAACACTGCGGCTCGTCCGAAATTGGCTGAAACGCACACCGAATCGTTTCCGCGATTCGAGGGAAGAAACAAGGTGGGATCACCTCACTCGTGGCATCTCTCACGGCGTCGCCGATGGGACGCGATTGTTGTTTGACGCTCCTCTATGTCTGAAAAAAATCGCGCGGCATTATTCGGAGGATGCGCCCGCGTACGTGCCACTGCGACGCTTCATTCCGCGTCGCTCCGAGGATAGCGGAGCTCGTCGCTGGAATTGCGCGGCTTAGCAGCTCCGTGCCTGGGCGTCTTAAAGCGTCCTCGCCGAGTAATCCGCGGGAGCGAAGGGCGCCGTTACTCATTTTGGTCACGCGAGATCGCGGCTTCATCGGTTATCCGGCCGGAACGGAAGTCGCCGCCGACAAAACGGTAGAGGGAAGTCACCTATTACGAGATAGATTCCTAATACAAGACAGCGGGTTTTCATCATTCAATTTCACAAATCTTTTCTACGACATTTACACGCACGATCCGACAATGAATTTTTCACCAAACAGATTTCACTCCAGGGCCTATGAATTCATGGTGGAACCAGCAGATGGTGCCTATTAATTTAGCAGAAATCCCACTGTCTCATATTAGGAGCCTATGACTGATGGCAGAGTTCGATCCGTAAATGCTTAAGACTAGCTTAGGCCTGGTTTCATTCCTTGTCTCTTTACAACTGTTACTTTAGAAATCATGAATTAAACTATTGTAAGATTAAAGTTAAGCGACGTTCGGTGAAACCGAGCCTTGAGCGTTTACAGATCGTTCTCTGCCATCAGCCTATCTCATAATAGAGGGCTCCTCGACATCTGCGGAAGATACGGAAGCTGCGCGGAGATTTGCCTCGCCATCTCTCTCTCTCTCTCTCTCTCTTTGCCGCCGCCGTCAATCCGTCGACCATCTCGGCGGCTTTCCGTCCGGAACTCTGTCAAAATCTGTCCGATATAAATCCCAGATCTCGCGTCGACATCGTCACGTTGCATCAATGTTATGGGCCAGCCGACGAGCTTCAGCAATTGAGATATTAAGGAATTCTAGAGGATTTGGATGGTCCAAACTCGGGGTTGACCGTAAAACAGCACCTCCGGTTCGTCGACGACGCTCGCACGTACGCGCGTCCGGGAAATTTCCCTCCCGCTATAAATCACGCCCCGCGCGTTTGCTTAACTCGACGCGAGTCGTCAGAGAGACACGTAGCCCACGTTCGTCACGGTGGCGACCCTCAATCGAAGCGTTTTCTCCCGCCGACTGCGGGCGCATGTACACATCAGTAAAGTTTCAGTTAAGAGTCGAGTCGCGGGGTTAATCCGGGGATGGCAGAAGCGGCGGTTACTCCAATTCAAATTGCACGGAGCTATAGGCTAATTGCCGGTATTTGCTCGGCGAGAGAGCGAGAAAGGGAGAAAGAGAGCGAGAGAGAGAGAGAGAGAGAGGGGTGCCCGGTTGTTTAGCAGGTGTGCGGTGCGGCGAGGAACGAGGAGGGTTCATTGTAAACCACCCCCGGGTTTGCTCGGTTTCGGGGCTCGGCAATACCAACGCGCGCGTCCCTCTCTCCCTTTCAACCCTCCGGTATTATCGCGGACTTAATGAATGGACCGCCGACTCTTGGCGAGCTCGACAATGATAACGAGGATGATAATGATAAACGATCCTCGCTGCTCCGAACCTTGGTCCTCCCGTCGTATCTCACGCTCTGTTCACCGTGAAGTCAGGGAAAGGACGGCAGGGCCTGCGTCCTCAAGGCAATCTGCAAGGCTGCCGGGCGTAGGCGCGAGGACGTCGGGAAGGGTAGCTTCCTCGAGGAGACCCTGCACGCTGTATTCACGTGAGTCGTGAATTAAATTGGATTCTATTATATATAGATCTCTCGTCGAAATTTTTCCCCACGCCGAAACTTCTCGCTGTACTCGGGTCTGGTTATAATCTTGGACGCGTTAACGACGGCGGATGTTAGGCGAAGCGACGAATTAATGATTGCAGCCTGCCCGGGGGATGGTACGACATCGATCCGATGACCGAGTACGAGCGAACGTACCACTTGGGTGAGAATTGCGACGGGATGCACGCCAAGTGTCCAGGTGTCTTCTGAATTGCCGCAATCAAGCTCGATCGTCTTCACGCAGGCACCAAACGAGCAGTCATCACGAAGAACTCCTCTCCGTTGCCCGACCATTCGGAATTATTAGAGCGCTTGAATTGCACAACCAACAAATAACAATCAAATTTGGACTAAGATTTGTGCAGGCAAATAACGATAGGCATCTTAAAGCGCTAGTTTAATTTTATTGTTAGCGCAAAAGGATTTGCGAAACTGATTGTAACTGTAGCAAAGCATTAGGGACTGTTTGCAGTTCTAATTTATTCAAACACAAAGATGTTGAATGTTTAATTTAACTAATATTTGTGAAGTTAACAGCGTTTATTTTAGCGTAGTTTTATTTAATTATCTGCGAAGTCGATAGCAAATGTTTCATCGAAAAACGAAATGACGATAAAATAAATTTAACGCGTAGTGCAATAATGGATTTGTATACCTGATAATTTAATACCATAAAGTGCTTTTCAGAAACATTCGTCGTAATTTTTATTCGTTGCGAATTAATCTATATGGGCCTATGCCTCTCTCTATCCGCACGGCGAAGCGAGTGCGAACTGTGACCCTTTAGGGCCGAGGCATTTCCGAATAACTGCCGTGCGGTCTTTTTAGTTGAGAGGAAAGGAGGTAAAATATCGTGGTGCAAAAGCGAATAATAGTAACCGTCGCTACGTGATGAGATCGACAACAATGTCGACAACAATGACGTCAGCAATTCGAATTATGCAGTCGACGTCGTTCTTGGAATTTCCTCGTAACTACCAAATTGCTCGGATTACAACAGAACTTTCAGCGCAGAAAGGACAGAGAGAGGAGAAAGAGAGGGGGGATCTTGAAAGTGCAAATTACAGTGTACGTTGTGTCGCCAGCGTTGTCCATTTTTTAACAAATATTTTCCAACTACATGAAATGTAATTGTAAAACAACATCACATGTAATTGTAAAATATACAGCGCAAAAATCGTTAGTTTTTACAGTTACAATAAATCAAAAGTCTTGGTCTTCAATTAAGTAGGAATCCTCCGAACTTGATGACGAACCGTTCGATGCTGGCTGTCACTTTTTCAAAGTGTCTTCGAGACACAGCAACGAGTATCAGTTACAGACCCCTTAAGTAACTCGAAGATGATGTCGCGGCGAGAGACTAATGTTTCGCCGACGTACGTGTACGGATTCTCGTGTAATCTTACGAAAAGCCGCTATCGACGCGCGTGAAGTTTCGGATAGAAACTTCACTCCACCGCAGCGATACAGCGCGACGTCAGTCCCAACATTCCGGGCGGGGAGACTTCAGCTTCGGGGATTACGATTCGCGAATTGACGAGGACTCGCGCTAATGACGCGCGATGTAAACTCGGCTACCGCAGCTGACGTTCTCAGAAGGGGGAATTGTATTATGCGATAGCTTACCGTCATTGTACCGCGCAAACACGGGGCGGTAATGCAATCGTAACGTCGCGGCACGACGGCATCGCGGATGTCTCGGTGCTGCGGAAGCGCACGCCACGGCGCGGCTGTGAGAGACGCGCCGTATATTATTCCGCGGATACGCGACCTATTATTGCCAGCTAAACAGACGAGCCCGTGTCTACTGGTTCCCTTTACCAGAGCCGGGATGTTTGCACGAAACGGACTTCGGAGCGTTACGTTGCGTGCTCGAGGAAATGGTCCACCACGGACAGGATAGACGCGTGGCGCGGACACGATGGTCCGTGAGGATCCTCCAGGCATTTATCGCGAAGGAATATCGGGGGCCACGAAAGTCGCAGGAGTCCATAAATCCATTAACCGCGCTTATTACGATGGCGATTCCCTCCGCGTTACCCAGCGGCGGCGATTAACCAGAAATCCCGGGAAAGATCGCTCGATTTTAAGTGCCGGATAAATCACGCGGTCTCCCAGCAAGGCTGCGCAGAGTGGCCGAGTTGTGCCGGCAGCGCGTCGTCGGACGAAGAAAAGAAAAAGGGGGGGAAAAAAGCCGGATTGAAGCGGAGGGCATCGAGAAGAGGGCCGAAAGCCCAAAATGAAATTACCTCGCAGATGGAAGCTGCGAAGATGGTCAGAGAGCACTCGGATCCTTGGGATTGGATAAAACAGGCAGCCCGTTCCTGAATATATTTCGTGAGATTTACGAAATTTAAAGGCACTCTCTCGCTAGTGCGCTGGCGGCTGCGGCGGGAAGGTCGGGAGGGAGGGAAACGGAGAGCCGATGAACCTCTCATAAAGAACAGCCGAGCTTTTCTGTGAGATTTTTCAAGATTAGCATGGAAAAGCCGGGGGACTCCGCAATGGGGGACAGCTTGTCAGATTTTAATGGCCTACGAGAGACCCAGAGAATTAATGAGTTCTCTCTTCTCCCTTTCTCTCTCTCTCCGTCGGGCGCGATGAATGCGAAAACGCGCGGAAATCAGTACCGATTCGATTCGTTAAAATGGCTTTCTTTATGACGAAATTTGCGAGATTATAACGAGACGCGTACTCGCAAATTACGCCGCCTTGGCGTACGTTGAAATACCCCATATCACCTACCTTTCAATCCACTTTTTCCATCGCCTGCGAATTAATCACGTAAGCTTTAGAATATTCTCTTTTACATCGAAATACATTTTACAGGTGTTCCGTAACATGTACACAGGGCGATATTAAAACTTGACGAGGACCGCGAAATTTATTCCGCGCGTTGCCACTGGAAAGATATCTTACCGCGACATAAAATATGCCGGGGCAAAGCGTATATATGTAGTTCACGTATGAGATAGGGACACATACCTTATCATAACCGCGAGAGCAGTCCTCTGCACGAGTTTGCGTATGCGACTGAAAAATTACGAAAAATTTAACTCGCGTTTACGACGTATATACGTGACTTATGCATCAGGAACGATTTTACGTTCGCGAAATAGATCGCGCATCCCGTTCGCCGTCGCATGCGTGCTGAGTATACGATAAAGTTATCGATAAGGAGACGGCTCGATTACAGAGACGAAGCTGCAATTAATAGCGTTTCGCGTGTCCGTCCAGAGAGAATCTTGATATCTCAAAGCGTACGTCGCGGTAGAATTTTCATTTCAAGCACAAAAGGATAATGTTACGTAATACAATTAAATTAAACTATCTCATCTTCGTAGGTAATATGTTGAATAACGCTCTTATCTAGCTACTTATATCAAAATTTTATACTGTAATACACCCAGGAAAAAGATTTATTTAAATCAAATAAATGAAATACGTTAAAAACGTGTTTCTTTGAATCTACTAAATTTTCATTTATTTCTACTAAAACGTTTGCTAGACTTAAAGAAACAGATATGAGTTCTCTTAGAGACTCCAGTCTCAGTGAAATAAAATGTTGGTTAAGGTAAAGAAATCATTTCTTCGAAATTAAATAAGAGTAAGGTCAACATTCTAAGAAAATGTGTTTGATTTCGAAGAAACTTTACTTGTGGGTTTAGGTAGAATTGTGTTTATAAATGTTTTGAAAAATCACAAGTGCGCCGGTCAACGACCGTCAGGTCGCTGAAAAATCAAGCGCTGACGGCCACCACGACAGTGTTAAGTTTCCACTTAAATATCCGCCCGCTGATGAATTAGATCGTCTCTCTCTCGTCGAGGTAGACGTGACAATTTGCGGCGCAAACACAGGATCGCTGGCGGTGCGATGCCGCCGCGTCGCCGTCCCGCGGCGAGTCGCTTGCCGTGTACCATGCGCGCAATGTGAGTGCAATATTTCGACGTAACCGCGAAGGATGTTCCCGGGTTTTCTGAAAATGCTCTCCGCCGCGTGACCTCCCGGGAGGGCCGGCCCGAGGCCACGCGACGCAAGAGGGGAGAATCGCGATTTTCGCCCGGATAATTCCGAGAAATGAGAGCCCCGTGGCCCGTCCTGATTCTCGCCGTGATCCTGGACCCGTTGTTGCTCCTAGGGGAGGCGGTATGTCACCGTAATGACACCGACTTAAGTGCCGCTGGCCAAAGGTCAGGAGAGACTTCGCTCCGACGTAGACGGGAGCTCACTTTTCCAAAGGGAAGCGCTTTCGTGGTGAGTCGGACGGCAGGGTGCTCGCGACGGGCGGCGAAAGGGGGTGGAGAGGGTCATCTTTTGTTACGCTGGACTTTTATGAGGGTGTCACCGCTTGCCCTGCGGAGGTCGAGATCGGTTAAATCAGTTAGATGGGGTGGGTCTCCTCATTTTGCTGCAATTCTACTGCGCTTTTATGAGGAATCACCCCTGAAACGAACACGTCCTATTAAAATCGCATTTATTTGCGCGACCGTATGAAATTGTGAGATACACGTTTCTATGGTTTCCATTGATGATTATGCTTTATTTATTGAAATTGCTTATGAGCAAGTATATCTCGTCGTTTTGTAATTATGCTAATATACTTTAGGGCTCGGTTTTTCATTTTCTGGTTAACTGTTAGCCGGAAGTTAGTCGACTCTCCATCTTTTTCTATGTTATTATCTGAGAAGAGACAAAGAGTCGACCTTTGGTTAACAATTAACCAGAAAATGAAAAACCAGGTCTAAGAAGGAAATTTCCATGTCTTCACAAATATTCCCCTATACTATTCTTTTTATCAAATTCGATGAAATTATTTTGATAGACTTTAAAAAAGTCGCAATCGTCATATTCTGTATGGTGACTTCCAATACGCCTGTTTAGATGACCCTGAGCCTTTTAAAGGCTATTCAACTTAACGAGCCTAAGAACTGGAACTTGGATCTGGAATTCGATACGATATGGCCTATACCTAGCCAAGAAGACTTGAGGAAAGCTGTGAGCAGAAAACCGTTCAAACTAAAACGGCGACACAGACGCGAACTCTATGCTAATTTGGAATTAGCGTTGAACAGGTGAAAAGGAAATTATTTTTGTTTCATTTAAATTGCGTTTTATATAAATTGCGATCCGTTAAAAATTCTTGAAAGCAGTCTTGCATAAGATTAAAACATAATTTTTAATGTCCAATAAACTAAAAAATAGTTATTGCCATAAAACTACTTTGTAAGTTTAAAATTAATGCAGAAGACCGATATACGTAGATACACAACGTTCAAGATAAAGAATAGAAGACAAGACGTCTGCTACATTTCATAATAAATATAAAAATATTTATTTTATAATTAAATTTTCTTGAACATGCATTTAATATTGCGAACATATTTTTTGGTAGCTGTATACCTGCGTACAGGGTAATTCAAAGTAAGTATAGGGTACTCGAAAATTCCGAGGATTTGACGCCATTTCCACGAATTTCGTCGAAAATTTCGAGAATAACGTCATTTCCATGAATTTCTCGAAAATTTGCATTACACCGGTCCAGGTATAAAATCTTCATTATTAATTATCGTTGATTGTTATCTATTTCAGTCAAAACTTGCCAGGACGATTATGCATTCTGCGCACAATTTGTGAGGCGGAAACCGTACTGGGTCCCCCTGGATTTTCAATTATCGAGGATGCCATACGAATTGTTTTAAGGTAGGTAAATGTATTCTCAACATGTCTTAAAGTAAACCAATAGTTATGAATTTTAATGTATATTAGCATTTGTCAAAGTCTGTTGAATAACTTTACGTTAACTAACCAATAAGCTTTAAGTTTATTACGTCACATTGTTAAAATTCTAACTTTTGAAATTAAAAATATGGTATGTTTTAGGAATTTTGAAGATGCTGATAATTACGACTGCTACGATGCCGCGTATCGAACGAAAAATGACTGTGAGACTGTTTATCCTTGTCCGTTTTCGCTGTTGAAGTTATTGTTATATAATTTATATACAGAGGGAACGTGAGAGATAACCGATTAAAAAATCAGCTTGATGCGAAACTCTGTATATAAATTGTACATCGTAATCCATTAGACGATTCCATATTTAATTAGCGTAGTTTTTGATATAATGGAAAAATCTGTGATATTCCCGATATTATTGCACGAATAAATACTTAAAATATATGCGTTCAAAGTCATCGATAAAATACAATAAAATAAATTGAATCCGTAGAAAAACGAATAATTCAATCCACGAACCATTTCCGTGTAATTTTTAATTCTATTTGATATCTTTCGTAGACATTATCGAGTAATCATCAAATAAAATAATTGTCACAAGACACTAATTTCGAATGTGGGCCAATTTTCCGTAAGTATATTTCTCTTTTGCGGTGCGATAAGCCGCAATTCTGGTCAAGCAGCTACCTATTTCAATTGAAAATTTCAAATTATACCGCACAAAAAGTACATATAGCATTACACTAGTGTAATTAAGCAAATGGCGATTATTATTATTACACTAATACCTGCAAAATGGAATTGGTTTTATATTTGAAATTATCTTCCCGATATGCTTTTATTGTTGACCTTACATTTCGAATGCATATTGCCACTGGTAGTCGCGCCGTATTTATAACTTTCCTTCTCTCGTAGATAAATAAGTTTCCATTTCAGTGCTCGCCAATTAGTTGGTCTGATAATTTTATATTGTATGTTCCTACGCAAAACTGACAAATCCAATTTATGTATAATAAATCCAGTAGCGTTAATCTACTAAATACAGATGTACTAAAAATTAATTCCGAGTCTCTACATTTTTTAAGCGATGCAACATCTCATTTATTAAAAATAATATTAGTGATGCATACGCAATTATATATACATCTGCCACATATATAAATAATCTCCGTTTTACGGAAAACGCAGCGGTAAAAACTTCTCTTTCGCCAAAATGCTAAAGTTCCTAAGGTACGCCTGCGATTCATCGCACACTTGGCGCCAGAAAATCAATGAAAATAAAGGAATAATAATTCGTGAAAAATCTTGCCGCGATGATGATAAACGCTCTCGTTGTCGGATTAAGCGCAAGATGTGAAAGTGCATGTGTACGTACAGGGGAGGGATACTCGCACACACTCACGCACACAAACAATGCAGTCGGAAACGTTAATCGCACTAATAGTAGCGGCAATATTTTACGCTCGCGCCCAGCAACGTGTTCGGGCTCTTGAGCCGTTAATCGTTCGCTAAATAAAGCCGGAGGAACGGGAAGTCCGTGCGCGGTTGGACGTTAATGAATTCGACAATGCTCCGCGTTCGCCTAACTGCAATAATAACGGTCGTTCCGAGCCGGACTGGACCGTACCGGGAGATCATTCACCGGGCAACTCTCATGGACGAGCGCCGCCGGAGGATCGAAATAAGTGAGCAGGTGAGCCCGAGGATATCCGCTTAATTCGAGCCCACCGGTCAGCCGGTCGGCTCGAAATAAAACAACTCGTTTCCATTCCATTTTCGTTTGCGTAGACGCGGAGATTCCGGATATTGGCCGGAATAATTGGCCGCGAAACGTGTCTGTCGAATTCGCGTATGATCGAACCGGGGGGGGGGGGGGGGGGCTTGCGGGGGTTTCGTAAATTTACATACTGATATTTAACCCGCGGGGGATTATTTTTATACGCAGTGTTTTCCAAATCGCGATCGCCGTGTGCAGAGCGCGTCGATTCTCGTGAAAACACGAAGGAGAAGTGTGCACATTCGGTGAATGCGGTAACTTGTAATTGTAACTATTAGTAATTGTATAACGAATTAAATTAACGAATTAAATCAAACAATTTTATTATTATTTAGTATTGAAAGCCTACTCTTTCATTTGCCGTTTTATCGAGTCGGCACGATAAAAGCGAGTCGATATCGTTTTGCTCCAATGAATTTGCAAATGAAGTACGTCAGACGTAACAAAAGGAGTGACGTTTTCGATATTCGATGAAGTCGCCACGAGGGAACGGAGGAAGAGAGAGAAGAGAGTGAATGACGATGAAAAAGAAAGTTTGTCAGATACGTCGATAATACGAGGCAGCCCCAAAGCCGATTACTCATGCTCTTGTCACGCGGAAGATCAAACGATACAACTTCTTGCTTTTATGTAATTTTGCTGTTACGTAATTTCATCGCGTAATTTCCGCGTTAATGCATTGCGTTCGTTTCTTTCTGCCGGCGCACTCTTGCTGACAAGTTCAATTCAGCCAGCGCGAAACTGTTAAGGGGATGCTGGAGTGATTCTGCACTTTTGCACCTTTCTAACCTAAAAACTGTCAGTTCGCGGAAACATTTGTGTAATATACAAATTAAATAGCTTACGTGTA